TTATCTGGTAATTCTGGAAGTCTTTGTCAGTTAACTGCTGGTGATGCAGGTCTCCCCCTCATTCTGCCTCGACAACTGATTTTCAGAGTGCGAAGGCAGAACCTGACACTTGTGCTCACTGCATGTTCATTCTTTTAAACTGTGTCTGCAGCTTATTATAGATGTTGGGTCTTAGTGTCAGCCCCACGGACAGGCTTTCCTCACAGACAAGCATCACAGGCAGATTACCTAATGTTCCTTCTATGTCTCCACGCAAACCCCCCATTGAGGCAGAACACAGTCCTGTGTCCTGTCTCGGTGTCTCTCCAGACTGAAGCTGATTCCCAGGAACGCACTTCAAGAATAGCCTTCTAGGGGCACCTGGGTGGCTCAGTCAGTTGAGCTTCTGACTTCAGCTCAGGTCACGATCTCACAGTCTGTGAGTTGGAGCCCCGTGTCGGGCTCTGTGCTGACAGCTCAGAGCCTGGAGCCTGCTTTGGATTCTGTGTCTCCCTCTCTCTCTGCTCCTCCCCTGCTCAAGCTCTGTCTCTCTCGGTCTCAAAAATAAATAAAAACATTAAAAAATTTTTTTTAAATAAATAAAAGAAAAGAAAAGAATAGCTTTATAGCAAGCAACCTCTCCTATCATGCAGCATGGGAATATCTGCACCACTTGTCTTGTTGACCAGGGTGGGGCTGTTGTACCTGCACAGAAATAGGGGCACACCTACCTTCAAAAAGCTCCCACCCCTGCTGAGGAGTGAAAATGAGCACTTGTGAGAAAACTCTCAGAAATATGAGGCCAAATATGGTCAATGCTCAGGAATGACACAGAGATCTTCAGTAAACACATGAATGGACCAATGTGCAATTATTCATTCAACAAACAATAGCAGAGCAACAACACAGATGGCCCTTGCCAACCTACCTAATGCCGGGTCTGGTCTGTGCACTCTGTTACTGTTCTTGAAGCCTTGCAACTATCCCCATGAGGTCCATGTTATTGCCCTCAGATGAGCAAGGAAACAGGCTCAGAAATGTTAAGAAATATGCCAAAATTCACATGTCTAAGGCATGGTGTTGAGCCCAGTGGGGTCTACCTCTGAAGCCCATGATGCTCTGAGCTGCCCTGAGTCCCAGTCACGTCCTGCCACTAGGGTTGCCATGGCCCGTGAGAAATAGGCCCTGCTCTACAGGGATGACCTGAGGTCCATACTAAGGGCAAATGCCAAGCATGCCATCTTGGAGCCTATGGAAAAGGAGAATGCAGGATCCCCAGTTGGGGTACTCATGCTGCAGGGTGGAACAGCAAAGCCAGACCCAGCCATGCCAGGATGTGAGAAGGGCAGAGTGCCACGTGTGTTCCTACAGTACATTTACCCACAGCAGGCAATGTTGAGCCCCCACCTAGAGGAGGAGGGTTCCCCTGGGCCTGAGGAACTCTCTGAGATTGAACCATTCTGAAAAATGAAAATGATGACAATTATTCTGCCTCCTCAAGGACTTGAGGCACATAAGGAAGGCCATGTCACTGTCATGTTTTGGGGTTTATTCCCCAAGGGCAAGAGCAATGTCAGCTCCTCTCTCTGTCCTGGATAGACACCAGTGAGAGTGCCCTGCCCAGCAGTCATCCTAACAAAGAGGCAGGTATCTGACATGTGCTGTTGTCCCGGTGTGAAGATGGCTGCTGGACAGTGATTGTTCATGGAACAAAGGGGGAGAAAAGAACATGGAGGCAGGTTCAAGATGCAGGACCAGTGGCGGGGAAAGTAGGAAGAGGAGCTGGAAAGGCATCAAGGAGGTCAAAGGTGGGGAAGGGAAGTCGCACAGGAGTGGTGAGGAGTTGAGGGTGAAGGAGCCAGGTGCAGGCAGTCAGTGCCTGAGACCAGCGGGCCCAGGTCACCAATGGGGATACAGTGGCAGCCAGGCCCCTGGGCACTATGGGGAGTGTGGATGACAGGGTTATTTCTGCAGTACACCAGAGGTATAGATATTTCCAGAGACAGGACCACCTTCTCAGAAGACAGGCTGCCAGTAGCTCAAGGCCAGGCCAGCTGCACCCGGGTTTTATACCATCCGTCCCACTGTGCCTACTTGGCAAGCCCAGGGTGAAGAAACAGTCCTGGTTAAGAGAAGACTGTATAATCTACAGAGAAAAAGTGTTTGTTCACTTATTACAGATCCATCTGGGTCAAGCATGAGGGCAGGAACTGCCCCGATAGGAAGCTCAGGTTCAAACCCTGCAGAAGACTGGAGTTCCAATCACTCAGATCTCAAAGGCCTGCTCAGCCTCCTGGAGAGAAGACAGCCTGAACTCTGCAAGCCCTGGAATCTACCTCCAAGGCTATGATGGGGCCAGAGCCACTCAAGTACTTTAAAAGGGAATTGATATAGAAACAGTGAAACACCATCTCAGGAAATATCCATTTGGGGCATCTTGTCTTCACTGGTTGCTGAGTGAGAAGCCAGGAGTCTGTTCCAGAGCAGTTCAGGGGTGTTGTGGCTGGGCCTCCTTAGGGTCATGGTGAGGGGATAGGCTCTGCACAGGCCACAGTGCTGTCCAGGAAGGAGCACGACCCAGAGGAGCAAGTCCCCTGCCCATGGCTACTCCAGGCATGCTCTGCTACTGCTCCTGGGAAGAGCCTAGCACTGGAGCCTCAAGGGCCCTCAGGGCATCCTATCTGAGGAAACACACAAAGGAGTAAGACAGCCATGTTCAGAGTAGAGGCAGGACTGTCACTGGAAGTGTGGGGCATGGAGGGCTTCTGAGCAGAAGGATGCAGGAGCCTACCTATGTCCTCAAGGGAGAAGTATTTGAAAGCATGTCTCTTGTGGCTGGGCCTCAGGAAGTCTGCCCTTTGAGTAAGTCTTTGGAACTAAGGAGAACACTCAGAGAGCCCCACTGATTGGTTTCCCAGTCCTGAGCCCAAGCTCTCAACCTCCCTGACAATGCCTGAGCCCTTCCAGAGGGTGGAAGCTGCTGGGGCTAACCTGGCCTTCTGCAGGGGGTGCCAGTGTGACCTGCATTGGGGCTCCTTATGAGGTTTTATCTTAGTTTCTTAAACTGTGCTTTAAAGAAAAATGCACAAATGTTAACTGTGCATCACTCTACGGCTACACATAACTGTTAACCTCCTGAGGTGAAGATTTCAAACACCTCCACATCCCAGAGGCCTCCTTCTCCTTGCTTCCCATAAGTCTCCCCACAGAGGCCCAGCTGCTCTGCTTTCTGTCACCCTGGAATAGTTCTACCTGCTTTTGAACTTCCTAAAAGCGAAAATCATATGTACTCTTTTGTGTCTGGCTTCTTTCAAAAGATCTGTCTGTGAGATTCAGCCATGCTTTTAAATGCAGTAGTCTTTTGTTCATTTTCTCTGCTGGATAGTATTCCATTGTATGGACATACCATCCTTCATTTATCCATCCCACTGCTGAGGGACATCTGCATTGTTTCCAGTTTGGGGCCATCATTTCTGTAAGCATTTCTGCATATGTGTTTGAGCATCCTTAGAAGTCTGCCTGGGGAAAAATAGTTCCACTGCTACAGGTGTCTAAGAGGCCAAGTTTTTCACTGCTAGACTGCACTATAAGTGTTACTCATGCATCAGTTTCTTTGATCTTAAGCTGCAGGATAAAGAAGAACATCCCCCTGGAAACTGAAGCAAATGCACAAATGGAAGCTTACAAGGTGTTTGGGGAATTTTGACTCTTACAGTGTACTAGGGAAAGGTGTGGATGTGTGTGTGAGAGTGTGTGTCAGAGTGTGTATGAGTCCATGTATATTTGAGTGTGGGCACTGTGTGTGTGTGTGTGTGTGTACGTGTGTGGGCTTACTGTTATTGCATAAGATGGCCTCAGAATCTCCTGGGCAGTCTATTCAAAATTAACGTGAGAGAACCACTAGTCCAGAGCATTTAGGGAAAGGAGAGGAAATGACCAGAGATGAGGCTAGCAAAACATCTAGCCTTTGCAGGCTATGAATCATGAATGCCTTACAATAGCATTTGAACTTTATCCTATATGAAAAAGGAATCAGCAGATGTGTTTAACAAACACCTAGTGGCACCCACACACAGCTCAGTAGGTGTGGCAAAGCTAGACGTGCCACCTACCAGCACATGGAGCCCCACAACAGGCTGAGTGAACTACAGTTTGCTAGTGGGGGGCATTCAGGGGCAGGGCAGTAAAGGGCTAAGTCTAGAGCAACCGGCCTGTGCTCATGTTCCACTTAGCAGCTGGGAGAACTTTCTGTCTCTATTGGCTCATCTGTAAAGTGGGGACATTCCTGGCTTTCATATGCCTAGGGTGTTGAGAAAATTAAATGAGAAAGTACTTAGAAGTGTTTCGCATGCAGCGAGCACGCAGTATGCATTAGCTGAAAGAACTGTATGGATAACTGCAGTGATTAATAGATGAAGGGTGTGTTGGCTCATGGGCGTACACACGTGACTTGTACTGACAAACAGCACACTCGCACATGATGGGCAAATACTCCTGCACATACACAAATAGCCCACAGCAAACAGGGGTTTCCAGGGCAAACATTCTAAGATGCTCCCGGCTCAGCCACTGCCCATAACTTATGCACTGGAAACAAAGTGCTCCTTAGTTACAGAAAGGAGACAGGAAATTAACAGGCCCCAAATCATCTCTGCTCTAAGGACTCCCAGTTGAACAAGCTGCCCAGTCACGCGAGTCCTATGAGGACCACAAACGGCCCACCAGAGCCAGCATTCTTCAGCTATGTTTGCAGTGACAGGGGAATGCTGTCTTCTCCTCTGGGGCTGGGGAGACCCTCCTTCCCTGCCCACACGGTAAGATAGTCTGCAGCCAGGCCTGGGACACACAACCTGAGGGACTGAGACAATTCTCATAGCACTGGCACAGAAGTCCAATGCAGTCCCCATCTTCTTCTCTTGGGAAAGGGGTCCTAGGCCAGGAGTCCACCCCCACAACCCCACCTGTCTAGTGAAACAGACAGCAGGGTGGAAGAGGAAGTGTATCTGAGAGCATGACCTTACCTCCACATACAGCAGGGGGAAGATCCCAATCTTGTCTCCCAGCATGCCTTCCGCCCAGTTGTCATCCACTCTTCTGATGACAGTCAGGATCTCATCCTGGGGTCACCGCACACATGCACGTGGACACGCAACAAAACACACACAACAAAAATGGAGACCAGTCAGTACTGCTGAAGCTCAGAAAAGATCCTAAGCAAGGATGCAAAGAATGGTTTATTATCCATTCTGGGATCTGACATACGAAAACAGTCTGCCCTTACATCTTCACCCAGGACGTCCCTCTTTCTCTCTTATATATTGATTATAGTTGCAAAAATCTGCAAATGGAAGAGCTTGTCAATTTATAATATAGCTAGTATTTTAAAATTCATGTTCCTATTATTTATTTACTGAGATAAAATTATTTTGAATAAAAATAAACTCAGTGAAGTATAAAGCTTTTTAAGTTTCTGGCGCCATCCATGAACAAAAAATGACCGAATACAGTTCCGTTTATTTAGAGTCGTGTACAAAAAGCTTTGGATAACCCTCTTAAATTCTTTGGCAATGCAGACAATGCCAAGTATAGATGCACAAAGTGGAAACAGATGGAAAGAGAAAGGAAGAGGCATGAAGCACAGAGGAAGAGGAGCTTTCTGGGAAGACTGGCAGACTAGTAGTTGTGAGGAAGGACATGACCAGGGTGGCTTCACAGGTGCCAGGAGCTACAGGGACAAATGACAGGGGGTGCAGAGAAGAGGGTGAGAGAAAGAAAGCATGGAGCAGTGATGAAGAGCAAAAGGTGGAAGCCATCAGGAAAGAAGACTGGGGAAAAGAGACAACATGGGCAGCGGCTAGCGTCAAGAAGGCCGGACAGGGATGCCAAAGGCAAAACTGGCACCTACACCAAGGATCTGTGGTCAGCTTCTGTTCCCTTTCCAATATCCATCCTTCCTTCAATACATAGGATATATAATAGAACACTCCACAGACTGTTGGCCTAACCACCCTCTCCCCCTGCCCCTCCACATCAAACCTCCCTGTCATTTGTCTCTCAACAATCTGCTAGGAGACCAGCTGGACTATCTGGGACTTGTGCTAAGGAGATGATGGCCAGCCTAATGGGGTAACCCCTACTGAATCTGAAGGTACCATCTGCCTTTCCAATGAGTCTTCAATACTTTAATGTGAAGCAATAATACGGGACTTGTAGGCTTCTCTCAGGTCAGAGGGACATTTTAGGCCAGTACACTTCATGGAATTACCAGAAAAGCTGGCTTCCCTATAAGCTAAGGGACCACACAGTTTTGGGATATTCATCTAGGTCAAGGTGGAGTGATCTAATGTGAATGGAATGTGCCTTTCATGGAACACAGATAGGGGAAAAGCAAGGATAAGTGTCTGTCATGGGACACTCCCCCATGGTCTGTTCCAAACCTCTCCTCACCTAGGGGTATAGAGTAGAGTCTAAGAGCGATCATACCCCTCATTTTCTCTCTCCTCATTCCCAAATAACAGCTTTGAAAAATTCCAAATAACAAAATGATCTGTGACTTTAGAATATTTTTTCTCCTAACTTATACAAGCCAGAATAATGCAATAAGGGAATTATATCATTGCACGTGTTTCAGGGTAGTTGGTTCTCAGGCTACAGAATGGTATCAATAAGGGACGAATGTATGGGATTTCCTGGTAACCATTAGGGACAAAGTGGCCACCTGGCTTGAGGAGAGATGTACAGAGAGTGCCCCTAAAATCCCATGCCTTGCTCACCTTACAAATTCACAACCAAGAGAGTCATGAGCCTGTGATGAACTCAACTCAGATTCAGCCAAAGGGAGGCTCCTAATACTTTGCTGATCATGCAAAGGGAAAGGTAATTGAAGGCTTCATACATGTCAGAGCTTTTGCAACAACAAAATAACACACAAAAAAAGACATTTCATTTTTTTAAATTAAAAAGAAGATAATACCAGGTTAATTTTTGTTTTTTAAAAAAGAAAATAACTGTATTATCCATTCTATTACTTAGAACTGGTCTAGAAATTGGAGCCAAAGACATAAAAGAATATAAAACAGAAAACATAAATACTAGAAAGAAGGTATGCAATTCTTTACCTAGAAAAAACAGTATCAACTAAAAATTAGAATAAGTAAATTTGAGAAATACTGCTAATTTTAAAATAAATACATAAAAATCATTGGTTCACTCATCTACCAGGAATAGTAAGTTAGAAAATGTGATTAAAATTGGCTATTTAAAAAAAATTTTTCTAATACTACATATGCCAAAATAAATTACATAAATATTAAAAATTTAAATGTTAGAAAAAAGTCTTGAATGCCCAAGAGGAAATATGAATAGATGTGTAATCTTGAGCTGGGGAAGTTCTTTTGAAGTATGATAACAAAAATTTGGCTACAGAAAAATGAAATCCTCTATGATAAAAACAGCAAAAACAAAAACGAAAATAAGCTAGCAAAATACTTGGAGGATATATGACAAAGACAATATTAATATTATATAAAGACTTAAATATACAATTGAACAAAAAAACAAATGTCTTAAAAGAAAAATAGGCTAAGAGCAATACATCTCACAAAAAAAAGAAAAGCAAATTGCCATTAAACATATTTTAAAAAGTTGGGGCGCCTGGGTGGCTCAGTCGGTTAAGCGGCCGACTTCAGCTCAGGTCACGATCTCGCGGTCCGTGAGTTCAAGCCCCGCGTCAGGCTCTGGGCTGATGGCTCAGAGCCTGGAGCCTGCTTCCGACTCTGTGTCTCCGTCTCTCTCTGCCCCTCCCCCGTTCATGCTCTGTCTCTCTCTGTCTCAAAAATAAATAAAACGTTAAAAAAATTTTTTTTTAAATAAAAAGTTATACCTCACAAATAAAAAAATACAACTGTAAACAACAAGAGCTCTCTCTTTCTTCTTTGTTCTATTTTGCTTATCAAATTAGCAAACAAAGAACATAAAGCCAACTCACAGTGCTGGTCAGCATGCAAGGAATAGGCACTTAATTATTTTGGGTGGAGATATACATTTATGGCAGGCAGTTCGGCAATTTCTAAGATCAAAGCCTGCATACCCACTAATCTAACTCTACCCTAGGAAAATCAGAGATGTGCAAAAAGATTTAGCTCTGAGAATGTTCATTATAGTGTTTGTTCAATTAGATAGAAACTAAAGATAAATGTACAGCAAAAGAGGTTTGGTTAAATAAATTATGGTATTGTGCTCCAATACTATTCCCAACTCCAGCACTCTCTAGCCATCCTGTCCTACCTAAGGAGGAAAGGGGAAAATGGAGACACACATACAGAGTTCACGATCTAGAAGTACAGCCTCCTGAAAGGACAGAGACCCTATAATAGGATCATAGGACTATACACTGCTTCCCTTTTCCCCAAACCATACCAAAACATAACTAAAGGCCAATTTATAGCAATTCCTTTTACCTGGTACATCATATCTGGCTATCAAAAAAAAATTACTACATATGCCAAAGGCAAAACAAAACAAAAATCAAAAATACAGTTTGAAGAGACAGAGTAAGCATCAGAACCAGACTCAGGCATAGAGGGATGCTGGAACTAATTAATACACTAAGGGCTCTAATGGATTAAGCAGACAGAAGGTAAGAACAGAGAACAGATGGGCAATGTAAGTAGAGAGATAGAAAGTCTAAGAAAGAACCAAAAAGTAATGCTAGAGTACAAAGACACTATCATAGAAATGAAAAATAATTTGATAGGCTAATTAGTACTCTGAACATGGCTAAGGAAGGAATCTCTGACCTTAAAGATTTCTATAGAAACCTCCAACACTGAAAAGCAAAGAGAACAAAGACTGAGGGAAAAAAAAAGAACAGGATATTCAAGGGCTGTAAGATAACTACAGAACTACAAAAGGTATAACATATGTATAATGGGCATATCAGATGAAGAAGAAAGAAAGGAACAGAAGAAATATTTGACACATAACAACTGAGAATTTCTCTAAATTAATGTCAGACACCAAACCACAGATACAGGAAGTTCAGAGAACACTAAGATAAATGCCGAAAAATAAATAAATAAATAAAAAACTACCTACGCATATCAAACTGCTGAAAATCAAAGATAAAAAAACAGTGAAAGAGACCAGAGGGAGAAAATATCATACTTACAGAGGAGCAAAAATAAGAATCACACCTGACTTCTCAAAAACCATGCCAGCAAGAAGAGAGTGGAGTGAAATATACCAAATATGGAGAGGAAAAAAAAAACCCACCAGCCTAGAATTAAGTATACTGAAAAATTATCCTTCAATAATGAGGGAGAAATAAAGACTTTCTCAGACAAACAAAAACTGAGGGAATTTATTGCCAGTGGACCTGCCCTTGTGAGAAGTTCTTTAGAGAAAAGTATGTAGGTCAAAAACTCAAATCTATATAAAGAAAAGAACATGGGAGAAGAAATAACTGAAGGTAAAATAAAACTTTTATTTTTCTTATTCCTAATTTATCTAACTGAATAGTTTGTTCAAAATCAAAATAGCAACACTGTATTTGATTACATATGCTTATGTACATATATGTGTGTGTGCGTGTGTGTGTGTGTGTGTGTGTGTATCATGTATATACTTATGTATAAATGAAAGGAATGACAGAATGATATAAGGGACAGGAGAGAAGAGTTATGATTATTTTGTTATTACAGAGTATTCATACTACCTGTGAAATAGTGTGATATTTTTTGAAAGTTTTTTTATTTTCTTAAAATATTTTTAATGTTTCTTTTAGAGAGAGAGAGAGAGCACGTGAACATGGGGGAGGGGCAGAGAGAGAGGGAGACATAGAGTCTGAAGCAGGTTCCAGGCTCTGAGCTGTCAGCACAGAGCCCAATGCAGGGCTTAAACTCATGAACCATGAGATCATGATCTGAGCTGAAGTCAGACCGACTGAGGCACCCAGGTGCCCCTGAAAGTGAACATGATTAATTGAAAATATATATTGCAAACTCTAGGGCAACTACTAACAATTTTTTTTAAGGTATAATTGACATGCTAAGAAAGGAGAGAAAATAGAATCAATTAAATCCACAGAAAGGAAAAAAAAAAAGAAGACAAAAATAGG